GACAGTTGTTAGCTGCCATGTGGGTGCTGGGATTCGAACCCAGGTCTTCTGCAAGAACAACCAGTGTTCTTACCCGCTGAGCCATCTCTACAGCCCCACAACCCTGTATTTTTTAATTAAAAAAAAAATTTTTTTTTTGCGCCAGTCAGCACGGCCGCCGCCGGGGGTGTTGAGTCGCGGGGCACGGGGCTCGCGGTGCCTCGGGCAGCCTGAGGGCCGGGGCTCGGCGCGGGGCAGCGTCCTCGGCGCCCGGCAGAGGCTCGCTCCGTGCGCAGTTCCCCCCACAGTCCCCCCTCATTTGCCTTTGTGTGGAGCCTGACCCGCCGGCTCCCGGCCGCGGGGATCCGGCCGCCGCGCGGGCTGGGGAGCTGCCCGAGGCGCTCTTCCCGCCGCCGTGCCGCCCCGGACTCACCCTCAGCGAGGCACAGAGTCGCCCAGTGCCCGTCCGGCTCTCACTTGCCCCGGCGCTGTCTCTATGGAGCTCAATGTACTGCAATGGCTGTGAGAGCGGGAGCCAGACGCAGCCTCCTCACTCTCTCCGCTCTGTAACATTACTCTCCAGCCAGCGCGGCTCCTATTGGCTACCGCCAACTCACGGGGCTCGCTCATTGGCCCGATACCTCCCATTGTCCTGACCAGAGCCCGCTTGCTATTGGCTGTTTCCGAGGACACGTCACCGAGGATTGAAACAGCGCGCAAATCTGAATGTGTGTGTATGCCGGGCAAAGAGGCTGAGGCGGGAGAGGCAGAGGCAGAGGCAGCAGCTGCTACGGGAAAGCAGAGCTCTATGGTGTATGTGTGCATGTGTCTAACCCAAGCCAGCCCCACACCGGAGCTGCCGCCGGAGCCAAAAGGGCCTGACTTTTCCACAGGTGTCTCCAAGTCCTCAAGCAAAAGAGACTCCCACAGGCCTCCCCCCCCCTTCCTACCCCACACTCACGCCCAAAGCCGTTGAGATAAGAGGCCCCGGGCTTTTAACAGACCTCCCAAAGTGGGGGCGACTGCACGAGAGCCTGCCCCCCGAAACCTGGGGTCCTCGCCGGGACCGAGGGGCCCAGGCGGCCGAATGGCGAGCCCCTCGGCAGCCCCTGCTTGCCTGCGACTTTGGGTGTCTGAGAAGGCCAGGCTTCTGTGAGCCAGCCACCCGATCCCGCCAGCCCGCGCCCGAACACCCCTCTCCTGGGCTCCTAGGCCATCGCGCCAGGCTTGCAAGAGGCCGAGATCTTGGATCGCTGGGCAGGCATTCAATTTCACCTTTTTTCTTGGTTTGATCGAGTTTCCCAGTTTGTCTAGAACTTTTTATGTAAATACAAAGCACTGTTTTAACTTCCTGGAAATCAAATAATTATTCTATGTAATTAAAAGCGCAACCATCGTTTGGATTCTGGCTACTCTATCAGGAAATGTTTGTGAGGGCCTGCTAGGATTAGCAAATTCATTAAAGACCCCATTTTTAATCGTTTGGCTATTTTATTTGACTTGGTGTGGATTACTGTTATAATCAAACGAATCCTTGTGATGCTATCTTCCCTCCGATCACACCACTTAGTGCATCCATGTACCTGCTCTAGGATTACACGATTTGGAGGTATATTGTTACCCGAAGGATTAAATGCAGTCAGAGTGCATATGCCCAAATCCACAGGCTGTGCTTTCTCTCACTCTCCTGGTAGTCATGGGCACACTTACGTCTGTAAAGAAAATGTAGCAGCTGTAAGTGCCAATTCCAAAGACTACACAATTATATCAGTCTTTTAGGAAACTACTATCTATTCCATTCAGTGTGGCAGACCACACCCCTCTACAGTTACAACAGACTTCCCTTTTTTCTCTCTCTGATGACATTTTACACACTTCTAAACCAACAACTAATTCCTCCAACAGCAATAGATCAAAATAAAAACAAAGCACATTATGTTAGATGTCTGTATCACTTCTAAGCCTCTATTATCCAAATGTGTTTGATCAAATTTATTAAGCTATTTGAGAATAGGTTTAGATAATCTTTCCTGACCAGTGTTTTGCATTTAGTGTTTTGCATTCATTGTCATTTTTTAAAAATACACTTGGACCCAGGGATTATCATCTGTGTGAATGGGCAGCATACTAAACATGCACACTAAACAGCTCTAGTATCAAGGACTATATAAATGGGTATTGTGCAGATCAGTATTTTAAATATAGATTTAATTTTTATACTGTTATTTTCACATATCTTTACCCTATTTCCTGCTACTAAACGAATTTTGTACTTTAGTTAAATCTAAATACTTCAATCCTGTTTTATCTTCATGATTCCTTATAAAATATTCAGTAGAAAAATTGAGATACGTTCAGTAAATCCACACTACTGAAATGCAGCTTCCATTTGAACACAGCACTGTCAATATTTTCCAATATTGGTCCTGGCCCAGCTTCCCACTCTACCAGTCTACTGGTTGTCTAGGCCTTCTGTCAGGGTAAGTTAATGGCCACAGAGCAACAGAGAAATGGGCCTACACAAGGTTTCCATTTGGACAGAGTGGTACGAGAAGTAACAGGCACTGGAATTAGAGAGCCATGGGTTCAAATCTGTGATCATTGTAAATACTAAATTTTTATTTTGGTTTTCTTTCTGATACAGGGTCTTGCTATGTAGTTCAAACTGGCCTCTAACTTGCTGTCCTCCTGAGGACTGAATTTTTTTTAAAGATTTATTTTTATTTTTAAAACTGTATATGTGTGTGTGTGCAAGTGAGTGCCACAGAGGCTAGAGGTGTCAAATCCCCTGGAGCTGGAGTTACAGGTAGTTGTGAGCCACCCTACATGGGATGCTGGGAACCAAACTCAGGTCATCTGGAAGAGGAGAAAGCACTCTTAACTGCTGAGCCATCTTCCCAGCCCTGACTGAATTTTAAAAAATATTTTTAAAAATCCAGGGGTGGTGGAACATGCCTTTAATCCCAGGACTCAGACGGCAGAGACAGGCAATCTCTGTGAATTCAAGGGTCAGCCTGGTCTATGTAGCAGGTTCTAGGCCAGCTGGGACTACAGGGAGATCCTGTCTCAAAAAGACCCACAAAACAAAACAAAAACAAAAAATTTTTAATTTAAGTTTTATTTATGTGTATGTATGTGTGCCTATGTTGGTGAATGTAGTCTGAGTGGGTGCCTGTGGAGCTGCCTGACATGGGTGCTGGGAACTGAACTTGGGTCCTCTACAAGAGAAGCAAGTGCTCTTAACTACTGAGCCATCTATCCAGTCCCCTGACCTCCACTGAATATTTTTAAAATTTTATCTTATTTTTTTTTTAAAAATGTATGTGTGTAGTGCTAGAGCCTTGTACACTCCCCAGCCCTAAACCTTTTTGGTTTGTTTTTGTTTTGATACATGGTCTTCCGTGGAGCCCAGGCTAACATCAAACTCATGATCTTCCTGCTTCCCTCTCCTGAGAATGCCCAGCAGGGATTCTAGGCATGTGCCCCCATGTCTGGTCTCAGCCCTGAACTTTTAAAAACAGATTTAAAATTATGTTATACAGACCCCTGAAATCCCATAATTTAGAAAACCTCAGGTATAACTAGCCATGAGTTTTTCTTCATATTCTAATAAGGCAAGTGATTTCACATCTAGTTAAGTGTTTTTATTTGTTTGTTTTTATCTTCAACTCAAACAGCACTAATCTTCCTTTCATTAGGTGATGATACTTTTTTTTTTTCATTCCCAAGTGTGACAGAGGCCATGTTAGATTTTGTAAAGTTTCAGGTACAGGTATTTCAACTCCTATATCTGAAAGGGAATTTAGGTCAGTGGTAGAGAGTTTTCTAAACATGCCCAAGGCCTTGGGTTCAACCCCCAGCATGTGCGCACATACACACACACTAAAATTAAATTAAATTTAAAAACTTTAAATCAATCTACACTAAAATTACTAGCCCTAATCTTGCAACCTTAATGTCCACCCTTTCCTTCCATATGAATTGTTAGCCACAAATTCATAGATATTTTACTTTGTTCTCAGGTGTTTCGCCCAGGGTTACAAAGTTATATGACTGGAAAATCGGACCATCTAGTTTAGCGAACCCAAGTTACAGACCTCAACACCTAATTTAGCCATCTAAGTTACAGACTTTTTTTTTCTAATAGTTGTGTGTGTGTGTGTGTGTGTGTGTGTGTGTGTGTGTGTATGTGTATAATGCCTGTATGTATGTAAATGCAACCAGGTCATACAATACCCTCGGAGATCAGAAGAGGGTGCCAGATCCCCTGGAACTGGAGTTAGAACAGCTGTTA